ACAGGACAGAAAGGTGTGCCTGGAAGATGAACCGAAGTTCAAATGAAGATGTACGTAAGTAAATTGTTGCTTTGAAAAGACTGTCTTTTTTCCTGCAGTGACATTTCTATATTACTGACTCCAGAGTTTTCTTATGTTTGTTTCATATTTGGCATTTTTTTCACATTTGGACAGTAGCTGTGATAACTGTTGCATAACTGTTTTTAGAGAGTTCAGAGTGATTTCATGATTATAACAGCCACTTATTCATCCAGTGAGGGCTTGTTATTATTACCATCCCTATTTCAAATATTGCATTTCTCTGTGAGGTTGGGACCCACCTCCCTACCCAGGGGCATTTGGGTGATATAATGCTTTCACAGTGAGATGTCTTTTTTCCCCTTGATTTTTCTAACTGGTGAGTTAAAACCATAGCTTTGCCTGTTGCAAACCTATAGGCATTGCTGTGGCCTGAGTACTATATGGCAGAGCCATCCAAGATACCCTGTGGGTCGTACCTTTTACTCCTGACTGCCGTTTGCTGTTCCTGAGAGTCTGGCCTTCTGCTTGGGCATGCTCTGAAAAGAGAGGCCTGCCTGAAGTGCAGTTTTCCTGTGCATCCACCATGTGCTGGGCTCATAAAAGAACTCTTAAGCTGTGGGAGCTTTGTGTTATAAGGGTTCATTAACTTTCAGATGTTTCAACTGAGGAATTTCAGAGCTCTCAGCAATAGGCGAGGGTAGCTGGCTCAGCCAAGAGTGTCCCCTGACAGTCAGGTACAGATGTGATTGCTAGTCACAGCACCATAAGAAACCTAGTAGTGTCCCAGCAAGTGTCATACTTGAGCTGGAGAGGCTGTAAATAATTTTTACTTGGCTTTAAGAGATAGGGAAACAGAGGAACCTCTGTCTTGTAGCCTGCCAGGAATTTTGCCTGCAGGATTGTAGAGTGTGTGCAGTGGTGAAAGAAAGGACTCCGGGGACTGGAGCAGGTGATTAACTGTTCTGAAGTGCATCAGGCCAGGGTAGATCACGGTGGTACAAAGGGGCATTTTTCTGACTAATGTCTCTGCAAATGTGGTATCTGAGCACAAAGAGATGAGAAATGGAAAGCAGTGGAGCAGCTTTCCTGCCTGGGAGGTATGGTGTTAACCAGTTAGGTCATGAGACAAATGGAGAACAAATGTTCCCTAAACACTCTTTTCAGAATCTAGATGCTTTTCTCGGCCGTACAGACCTACAAAGATTTTATTTTCTTAATTTATTATTTATTTGTTTATTTCTCCAAAGTGATCTGGTAGCTGCGTATTAGGGAGGACCAAGGGCTTGGAGTTTCGTTAAACACCTCTGGTATCTCGTGGTTAATAACTTTATTTTGTATTTTCAGTCATAAATGCTGAGACGGGGGAAAGGGGAGTTTGATTTCCTGTGTGACAATGCAGCTCACTCTGCTTATGTCGTTAGCTTGGCCTGTGCTCAGGGACTGATGTTAGACCCCAAGGCTCTTCTCCAGTCTTGGTTTAGACATGTGAGAAGTGCCATTTCACTGGATTCCAGCCACCCCTGGGACAAGCTACCAGGGACTCCTTGATGGTTTTGCTGTGTTGTGACCCTTGCTGGGTTGTTTTCCAGTCAGCTGGCCTTGCCTGGCTTCTCCTGAAGACAGGCTAACCAGGGCCAAGTGAAGCCAAGCTTTGGGGATTGCAGCCTTTCTATGTTGTTTCGGTTCCCACAGGAGCTCTTAGCCGAAAATTAGAATATTCTTAGTTGTTAATGTCTTAACTCACTCTGGTCTGGCTATTCCAGACCCAGAGTAGCCCCCATCAGCACTGTCTATGGCCAGCCTCTGTTCTTTTGGCACCTCAAGCCTGACACAAATCAGGCTAAACAGAACATGGAATATTAAGCAGCTGTTGGCTTCTAAAAAAAGAAAATCATATTAGTCTCTCTAAGCAAATCTATGTGGTAATTTCAGGAAAGCATGAGGTGACTGTTCTCCCTGGGAAGAAAGAGCTGGTGTATCTTTGCACATCCATAAACCAGTTGTACGGAAGACTTAAGAGCATAGCAGGGATGGAACTTTTACTTCCTTGACGAATGTTTGATGGGGAAAATAAAGGCAGGACTAATTGTCTCTGTGGGAATTTGTTTGGGTAGGACACATCTACAGCACCAAATTCTGAGAAGGATGGATGCTGTTGCAGATAATGCTTGTCAAGTGAAAGAAATGCCACTCGAGCATTGTAATATCTATCCAAAATAATTTTTTCAATTATGTGTAACATACAACAGTGGATGACTTAAAAATTTATCCTATCTGACAGCACAGAGGCAGCAAAAATGTTAGATTCGAGACCATTTTTAAAGGTGCAGGATGTACATGCTAACCCTCTGGCTATCAGTGGTTTAAAGGAAATGAGAGCGGCTGTTGGCAGGGAGCATTTAGCTCTTTGAAGCTTGCCTGACTGCTTCTGGCTCTGGCTGTTACACACAGCCCCAGCTTCCAGAGTGAGTGTAGCAGTGTGTATCTGCAGGACATGATGGATCAACCTAATGCTTTATGCAGACTCTGGCTTCCAGAAACTTTGTCAAAAAGGAAGCTATTAAATGTGTTTTCTTGGAGTAACTAAATTCTCTGTCTCTGATGGATGAGGTACTGAGGTTAAGGTTGAGGAGATGGTGCATCCTCTAAGTGGCAGTACTTATGAGGGCTATTCTGTACTGCTCAAATATGGCAGAATTCATTAATGGCTGTGAATAAATGTGATATAAATACAGAGGACTTACTCTTCCCTGCCTCTGATTCCAGGTTGCCAGGGAATATTGCCCCGGCATGTGCAAAATCCTGCAACTGTGAAGATATGATGGCTGTTTTAAGGAGAGGCAGCTGGGTATCCAGTATATACTACTGACTGTTTTGGCTCCAAAGGAGTGTCCAGTGCTGCATTTGTCATGGCACTAGGGTGTGTAAAGGAAATCCCAAGAGCTGTAGAGGGTCCCAGGCATCCCCCACTTCTCTCTTCCAAAAGAGAACTATTGTGATTTGTCTTGGTATGAAGGAACCTCTCACTCACTGATCTCAGAATCCACACAGTGTGAGTCTGCCTCTGCAGTTCTTTGTATTGTCTCCCGAAAATCCTTAAAATTAACTTAGGGTAGTGAACTGAGCTTTCTCTAAATTGTATTTCATTTGGCATTTTACCTTAGCTATGATATTTTTCTTACTCTGCATACATCTTTCCCCTTCCTGTCTCTTCTGCTAACAGAGGAAACCTCTGCAGTTCTGTCCTGCTCCCATTTTTCAGCTAAACCATCTGTGACAGAGTCAAAGCTCAATGGACTGAGCATGCAGTGTCTTTGGGGCTAACTGCTCTAAGAAATGGGCAGCACTGTAGTGCAGAGCTGTGCCTGCTTATTCTTAGGCTCTCACATCATGGAGTGCGTCCTCACATACTCCATCAGCTGCTGTTGGCTTGGCTGCCTACACAGGCTTAATGTAAGGCCCGTAGTGAACATTTCTATCACTTTTGCCGTTCTGGCTACTGTGCTTAATCAAAGAGCTGGAAGGAAAGCTCTCATTAGAGAGGCTTTCTCAGTCATACAGAAGCCTCTGCTTGACTAATCGAGGCTTTAAAAAGCTCTTGCTTCTGGTTGGGGTTGGTCTGCTTGACCTGATCTAGGCCTGAGGCAGAATGAAGCGAGAGCAGACTTAAAATAAATGATGTTTGAGCAAACACCATGGCCGGAGGTGAATAGGGTTGTGTTCTGCAAGGCTGCTGCTTGGAGACTAAAGAGTTTCTTGCTGTAGCAGCAAACCTGTGGAATGTGCTTTGACTGGAGAGGTGGTGGGAACCTGTAAGGGAAAGTGGGAGTCTGCATGGAGTGAATTGATCATTTTCTGTCTTGGTACTGCTTGCACGTATAGCAGTGAGAGTCCAGGCCCCTGGTATCAGATGCTGGGGGAAACGAGAGTGCAAGGCAACCTGTGCTGCAGAGCCTGCAGTCTGAGTGTAGGAAGTAGGTAAGTGCTGGGGAAAAATGTGTAAGGGGCAGAGCTAAGGACAGCTCACCTGCTCAGCTGTTGCACTGGCCTCAGCCCAAGAGATGTGTGGAAAAGCTAGTACTTATCTGAGAAGGGAGCATAGAATAAAAAGGTCTTCTGTGGGAGATAGCTAATGAATCATTAGTGCTTCAGACTCTTAAACCTCTGGAGCAATGTAGCCTAGTCCATTTTATATGTTTTATAGACTCTGAATGTTATTATCATTTTTTGTGTAGTATGCAAGTTTATGATTCTCAGCGTTGCCACCTGAGGATATGTGAGCAAGTGAAATTTTTCTGAGGGACTTGCGTTAAATGATGTCAATATTATTTATATAATATGTACTTAACTCTTTGTGTCCTGGAGAAGTTGTGTGATGGAGGAGCTGAAATAGAGCACTTGCTCTTTAAGGGTGCAGGAACTGTTTCTTCCTCTGTGGTCAGTGACTTGAGTAAGCCTGAACAGGGTTCCTCTGTTGTGGGCCAGAGGCAGTGTTCTTAATGCAGCACAGGATGTGAAGCTGCCAGGTTTGCTGGGGGGTGGTGATTGGTAGGTGGGTATGCATTGGTGTGCTAAGTGGTGAAGGTGCAGAAGGATAGGAACCTCGAGGTCATATGTTCAGCTGGTTGTTGGCTTCTGAAAGCTAACGTGCATCCCAAGCCAAATGTCAGGGAGGAGGTTTCAAGCTGTGCAGTTGCCTCCTGCAGCTTTTTTCAGTTGCAAAGAATTAAGCTGTTCTTGAAAGAGTTGGAGTGAGCAGCTGCTGGTGGTTGGGAAATGTTGATCCTGGTTCCTGAGCAGCAAGGCTCCCTGCCAGCTGAGCAGGCTCTAGCACTGAAAGCAGCACCTGTGGTCATGTGGTAGGGTCCTCAATGCCTATAGAAAAGGAAATGGACTGGCTGTCAAGTGCTTAGAATTAGTAGTAAGCTGCCCAGAAAAGGGATGCAATGAGTGCAGGTCACTTTACTGAGCAGGGTAAAGATGGAATCCATTTTCAAATGGAGATGGAGTAAAGGTGAAAGCGAGGAAGGATGAATGGCGTGTTCATCAGATGATGGCCAAATTCCCATACAGCATTCCTTGTTGGGCAGGCTGTGTCAGATATGTCTTAGTAGGTCTGGCCTGTCAGAAGTCAGTGCAGAGACAAAGGGACAGATAGGGAAAGGAGACAGGATATAGTGGAACGTACATGATCTCACTCAGGGACATGTTAACTCTGAGTTTCTTTGTTACCAGTCTGATGGTGTATTAGTGCCTGACCTTGCAGCAGGGATTTGGACCTTCCTTCCCTCTCCCCTCTTCCTTTGCTGTTTGCTTTTTATCTTCTTGAAGAGCAATAAAGATACTGAACTCTGGAGAGCTTCTGTGGGAATTGAACTCTTCAGTTACAGCACTGCTCTGGGAAGAGAGATGGTGGAAGTTTTGAGGGTAGGAATAAGAAGGAGGTGTGCCAGAAAAGCTTGGGCGAGGAGCTGGAATCACTGAGATAGTGCAGCTGGGAACAGGGTTTGGTAGTTGTCTTACTCATGTAGTGTCAAAATCTTCCCACACCATGGCAGGTTCCAAATGTGTGACAGAACTTTGCCGAACAATGAAGGATTCTCTGTCACGTGTCTGCTGTCTGTCTTCTACGTATGGAGGGTACCAGGACCTTTGTGTTGATGGCAGAGGATTCTCGGATGAGCTGCCTGCGCTGATCTGTACAGATGACTTGGTGCGCTGAAGATGAAGGTGTGGCTGAGCAGTGAGGCAGCTGGGAGGACTCTGGGGAGCAGAGTGCAGTTCTGACTTGAGTGATGCCTTGGGGAGTCTGGAAAAGAAACCCGTGGAGACTTACTGAACACAGAAAAGCCATCTGTAGCTCAGGTAGTCCCAGAGCTGCACGTTGTTAGGGACTGGGTGTGCATTCTGAATGAGTGTCCCTGTAGGCTTGGTGCCTGCTGCTGGCCTCCATTACAGCCTGCTGGGATGGCTTGTTCTTTGGTGTGAGCCATGGCAGATGTTCTTCTGAAAGAAGCTACTGCAGAAATGGTATAGGACAAAGGGAGCTCTGAATGCTTACAAGATACATCCATGACTTCTTACTGACTTAGCTAAATTTTGCTGGCTCACTGGTTGTTGAAAGGAAGCAGAGGAAGTTCTCTGGTCTTTTGGGTTTGGAGAAGGGAGGCAAATGAATGTTTTCCCCTGACTTAGGAGGATCTTGGGCCCTTGTACAGTAGTAAACCAGGCTGACCTCTGCAAGGCAGAGCAGGATATTTGAGTTAGTGGATGACTCTGGGAGTATGCAGAAGTTTATAAAGATATCAGAGCTAATGATGAATGACATGTGTCATGTTCTGATTCCCTACACAACTCTGGCAAGCATGATTCCATACTTTGTTCTTGCATTGTGCTTATGGCTTTGTCCTCGGCCTCGCAGTGGTCTGACACTGCTCGCCTTTCTGATAAGGCCTGCCTTTTCCCTAGAGCAAACTATTTGTAGCTCCACGAGCCACAGAGGAGGAGGTGTGGCCTGGTCTGTTCAGAGTAATAGACATAATGTAGTACTTTGTGGATGCCGTGGGTGTAACCACTGCAGCTTGGCTTGGTTCTTGTTACCTTAGCACTTTGTGTGAGCTTCCAGACCTTGTCAGCCTCTGAGGAGCAGGCTGTATTCATTGTGGCTGTGGGAAGATGAGGAAGCCATGGGCTGTTCTGGGTTTATCTGGACAGAGCTGCCGTTGTTAGTTCTCATTGCTTTTCTCATGTCTATGTGAGACTTTTGTACCTGGGGTAGGACTTGTTCTGTCCCTTGTCTGTGAAAACTTCTGTTCACTCCACCCCTGTGGTGCTTTCAAGCCAGCAAAAGAGTATGTGATGGTTGTGTATCGTGCAGTCAGAAGGAAGGAAAATAGTGTCTGAAATGACAGGCATTAAATCCAGGAAGGAAGAGGCATTCATCAGGGATGTGGAGTCATATTTTCTGTCATCTGAGACTGTGAAAAGGTGCTCGTGGTAAAGCTTACTGAAAATATGTTTAGTGTTCTTGGTTTGAGACAGTTTAGAGGGGGTGGAGATGTTGGATGGAAGTGTCCTTCGGATTCAGTGCCCCTGGTTTTCTCCAGTACAGAGAGAGACCAAATATGTGCTGATCTAAGTGGAAAAATAACTCTTTACTGAAAAGAATGTCAGCAATCATACTGATGAAACTGGGCTAAGCTAACCAGTGAGGAGAAAGCTCCCAAGCCCCCTGCCCACTGGACCAAAATGGGATGGTGGCTGACCTCCCCCCACCCGGAAAACCTGGAAGGAACGGCTGGAGAATCAGCGCTGGAGTGAGGCTGCAGCACTGGCACAGGCAGTCAGAGCAGGACTACAGACCTCCCAGGCAACTGGAAGGACCCTCAAGGCACCTGCTGGATCCAGTGATGAGACTCAGATGCTGCAGCCTCAGTGCTCATTGGTCAGAATGGCAGCTGCAGTCTCCTCGAAGTGGTGGTCACAATCCGGATCCGTCGAGGTGGTGGCAGAGGTCCTGTGTAGTGAGGGAAGACCCTGATGTTGAGTGAAGTCCAAGTGTGGTCTCGTATTGAGCTCAGGCTGGATGGGAACGCCTTTGGTATCTCTGACGGGGCAAGAAGTTGTTTACTGGATGATATAATACCTGTATCATGGGAAATTTCAGGAGTCTTTGACATCTTCTATGATATTACAGCTGTCTGTTACCTCAGGACAAATGGATCCATTATGACTGTCAACAGAGATGAATATCTTCAGGCCGGGTGTGAGTGTGTGCGAATTGTCCTGGTGCTTCCCTGAGGAGAGTTATCACAGATGAAGCGTTTGTGCAAGTACAAGGAAACACTACTCAAAGCCTGAGCAGGTGTGCACGCCCTCAAAACCTGGATTCTCTGAGTCATCAGCATTTCAGTCTTTGACACTTATGGATATGTTCTTAGCATAATGGTACCACCCCTGTCTTAAGTTCCTGCCACAGTTTAAATTAGTAGACATATCTGGGGAAAAGAGAAAAGGTGTGTACCAGAATCTTTGTGTAACCCAGAACAGTTTTCCTAACAATATTTGGTGTTTCTTTTTTCAACTTAAGATCTCCGTTACCAAGGTACACTAGGATTTAACTTATTGTTAAGAGAGTCAGCTAATGCTAAAAATTGCTTATGTATGCTCAGTGTAAATAACTATATTAACACTGAAAGCGAAGGGGTGTAGTAAATTCTGGAAGGCTTCAAGAGGGAACTGACCAAGGTTGTACACAAGTAGCAAAACATGGAAAATAACTAATGAAATAGGAAAAAAAAGGATTACCTAAATATCATCATCTGGGCTAAGATGTTTTCCTTTGGATATTTTTTAGTTGCTATTTTAGTTTACTGGACTGTGATAAGTATAGTGGGTATAGTAGGAGATGAATGCTCAGTCTGAGATGGAAAAGAAAGTGTTGAAGAAGAAGATGTGTTTAATTAAAGAAGAATATTTAAGAAATTCCAGGATTTCCTAGAGGCCCAGCATGTGAGATTCAGCATAGGAGTTAAAATCCTGATCCATATCAAAACCGGGAGTTATTTTTCTGTAGAATAGTGTTCAGCCTGTCTGTATCTGGAAGTTTTTGAGACTGGGAAGAGAAGGTGATGGTCACAACTCTGAGCTGGATCTAAATATGCCCAAGGCAGAGCAGACATCGGCTTCTGTACATCTCACAGGAAGATACGGCTGACGTGCTCTGTGATGAAGTAAAGAAGCCGTGCTGGTGCAGAGTCCATGTATTGGTCAGAATTTTCCAGGTCCCCATGATTACCTTTCGAGCTCTACACAGCTGAGTTTATTTCATCGTAAATGGAACTCCTGCTGAGGTCAAAGGGCAGGAGCTCATCTGCAAATGAACATTCCTCAACCTCTAGTTACAGGTTGGACCTTTGAGATCAACTCTAACAAGCGTACTGCAAACAGTGGATTAGTTTGTTGCATGCCACTGGGAAATTAAAGGTGTCTTCCAAGTTCTTGTCACTTAAAATTTGCTGTGACATTTACTGCGTTTGACAAAATGCAGGAAAAAAAGGTTCCAATTAACCAGGACATCAAACAGTGTGAATGGAGCAGTTTATTTTGGAGGCATGATATTCAGAAAGGTCAATCTCTGTCAGCTGACCTTGGCCATTTGTGGTGTTGGCTATGGCTAATGAGCACTCGGCTCAGTCCGTAATGGGGGCTTTATGCAGGGAAAATCCAGATAATAGATGTGTGAGGAAACTAGCTCTGTCTGACGGCTGTGCACTGGGGAGGGGGTTTGTGAAAACTCTAACATAACAAAAAAAAAAAAGAACCTGAATCCAGTGTTAAAAACCAGGAGCATCTTCACAGTCAGTTCCCCTTCACCCAAGTGGAAATTATTGCTGTCTTAGTGCTTCTGCTCAGGCTTGTGAACTGCACAGAGCTGTGCGTAACAGGATGGTGATTTCAACCTGGAGCAGGATAGTATTTCCTTGGAAAAGGTAAATGGAAATGTATTGCTGCATCAACACGATGCACTCACTGTTGACAAAAGCCTGAAGGGAAAGTGGCCAAGTCTCATGATAGACTGATATTCTTCAGCTCCTTTAAACGTTGGTATCAGTCAGTTGCAAATAACTCATGACTTGTACCAAAATTCATGGCAACTGCTGACCCTTTATGTGGGCTTGTTCCAGCATTAATACTGAGCTGTAGTATTTCTGCATGTCTGAAAACAGACATTTGGGCTGAGCTTCCATAAATGATGCTGGATTTATACCAAATTCACCCTCAGTAAACTATTAACATGAAACTGACCAATAACATTCCCTGTCTACTCCAGGTCTTGAGTGTTCAGGTTGAAAATGTCATTTTCCTCTGTCCCAACAAGGCCATGTTTCGTAAAAATTTTAAAAGGCGCTCTTGCCGAGTTCTTCTATTAAGTGAAACCTGGCAGGGCAGTGCTGGTTGGCAAGTGAATACTCTTGGAGATGGTCACTCTTAGTCCAGCCTGGTCTTGGATGAGTGCTTGGGAGTGCCCATTTGGAGGAAATGAAAAATAATTCAGTATGATGCTGGGATCTTTATGTACTTCACTAACTTAAGATGTAAGGATGAACATGTTCTTTGCTAAATATTCATGCTTCTTAATACTGGATCTGTTTTCCTTCTTTGAACTTAGCTCCCTGTATCTGCAGTTTTAGGGGATGTCCAGCACTTGTAATTCAAGGACCTGGGATATACTGTGCTATGAGCTAGGCATCCTTTAGGCAACAGGATTTACCTTGTCTACTTTCCACTGGGCTCTGTTGGATTCAGTAAAAGCGGGGCTCCAGCTTCCACTGGCGTTGGGAGAGGGGAGGGAACGGTGAGAGTAAGAGGACTGGGATTAGGCTTGGACTGTTCTAAGTTGGTGGCAGTAGGGTCACAGGCCTGAGCAATAAGATAGCTGTCTTGAGTCTCTGCGAGGAAATAAAAACAAGAACTTGGAACAGTGGAGTCCGATGTTGTCAGGCTTTTAGCTGAAACAGGCTTCCTGAGGCGCAGTGCGAAAGAAATAATTTCTTGAATTAAATAGAACTCCCTTCATACTGAAGTCATAGCAACAAAATGACCTCACACTGCAACTTTACTCCCCCCTCCTTTTAGTTGTTTCTTTAATTTCCTACAATATGTTATTCTCGTTGTTTGGAATCATGGGGAGGAGGGAGAGAGGGGAAACCAACCTGTGTAAAAATTAGCTTTGAGTTATTCCATCTGTGGACTCTTAATTTTGTCATGAAAACAGAGAAGCCTGGCAGGAAGCAAGCTTGTGACTGGCTCCATGCATCCTCTTGTCTGGAGCTGGGTAAGGAAGTGTGGCATTTAGAATGAAAGCAAAAGCTTCATTTCTGGAACTCTGAGTGTTTGCCCAATTCTTTGACCATCTGTTTTTGTTGACAA